TAAAAACTGAGCAAAGGAGCTGAATTCATCCAAATTCAAAAAAAAAAAAAAAAAAAAAAAAAAAAAAAAAAAAAGATTAATTGGAAGATTTTTGTTTTGAAGTCAGGACAATCTTGACTTCAGAGAATAAACCAATAAGCATGTTTCTGACCAGAACTCAGAGACACCCACCTTGACCAATTCGAAGGGAAAGCGCTCATGAAAGATGCGATTGATCCTGGCTCCACCTGACAGCTCAGCCGTGTCGATCTGATCTCCTGAGCCCTCTATGCATTTCTCAAAGTCTACTGAAAACTGTTGCACCATCCTGTAAGCAATTAGGGATAAATGCATCATCAAGCATCCACTTACCACAAAATTTTACAGTAAATGTGTTTATATGCTCACTGGAGGAGAGCCTTTGTTTTGCGGGAGGGGTCATCAGGTCTGAAGTTCTTGTACTCATCGACCTCCTTCTCTATGGAGAGCAGCTGACTCTGCAGCTTTGCCCTGAGGCCCGGCAGGGTATCTCTGATGTGGTTGGTCAGTTGCTGTAAAAGTCACAGATCACTCTTATCACTGTAAGGATGTGTGGGGAGGGGATGAAAAGCAACATAGAACAGCAGACTTTCCCCTACCTGATTCAGTACTTTCTGGAGGTAGGGCGTGCCCATGCGCTCAGCCAGGTGTCTGTAAGCAGGATGGGAGAGGAAGAACTTCCTCTCAGCAGCCATAGCAGCATTAATGTCCTTCTTTCCATCAATGTCTTTCTGGCTTCTGTTAACCACACCGATGTAACCTACAAGCAATAGACACCAGTTTCATAATTAAAGAGGAAAAGTCTAAATGTCTGTTTTCACAAGAGGAACTGATCCAGGTAATGTTAGAACTGCCTTACATTCAGGACTAGACCATAGCAGCAAAACTATCTCTTAAGCAAACAAGTGGATCCAACTAATTCAGATTTGTTTTATGTAGCTGAAAAGTTGATATAAAGGAAAGTATTTACAGTTTTCCATGTTTGGAGAAAAAGCAGGAAAAGAGATTGGAAAAAGTACAGGGAGTGTTCAGGGCAAAAGGATCCCATTTCATCCTCCAATTAAGTTCCCTGATCCCAAAAGAGCTTTTATGCTCTATAACTACTGCAAATCTGAGTCAGCAGACTCGTAAATCAAAACATCCACAACATTAGGCGGAGAGAGTGCTTAAAAAACAGAAAACATGAAAATATTCAAAAACATATGTCTGGGGTCTGACCAAGTTCAAATGGAAAAGACTGGATCAGCACATACTATAGCAACAACCCACAGAAAAGACACTCTTCCTCTGGGAGCTCTTCCTATTTTGTTCAAACTCTTTCCCTGCTGCAGCTTTATAACTTTTCATTTTTACCCTGATTTATCTCCCTCCCTCCCTCCCTTCCCTCACTCCAGGAGCCTTCTGTTATTTTCCTCTTCTCCTCTTGTCCAGCTTTAGGCAGGTCTGCCTTTTCACCACAAGAGGGAAACAATGTGTCACTGCGTTTCACTGAGGTGGGGAAAAGAAGTTTGTTTATTCATCGGTCCTCACCTCTTCGCAGGGGAAGCAGCTTGTTCTCCAGGATGTCTTTAGCATCTGTCCCCTCATCCATCAGGTCTAGCTTAGTGATCACCCCTATGGTCCTCATACCTACAGGTGGTAAACACAGTCCACACAAACACATCCCATAAATAAAAAAAAACAAATGTTCAGATGCTCTTAATGAAGGAATGGATAGTGTAAAAAAAAAAAAGCAAAATAATGTGATTTTAGGCAAATTGCAGAGGCTCAATAAAGCCTGTAATAATTTGATAAAGTGTGGTTAAATGAAAGCAACTTCCACGTCCTTGGAGGTATGGAAAAATAATTAAAAGTATAAATATCTTTATAATGACACTGTGCATATAAATCTGTCCATTAAACTGTCATTTCTCTGTCATTCCCTCTGATCATCCATCCGCTGCTAACACTGAAAAAAAAATTTAAGAAGTACTTTTTGGTCAAATAAATAGATTAATTCATTTTATATATTTACTCTCAGTAAATGTGTTTGATTTCTCTCTGTTGATTTGGAGAGTATATATCTATGTGTTTGCTGGCATGCACGTCCTCACCCTGAGGGTCGACCTCTTTGGCAATTTTTAAAGCGTCAGAGTTGGCCAGATCAGAGTTGGCTGGGGATACGGCGAGCATGAGGCAGTTCTCCTTGGTCACAAACTGCATTAACATTTCTCTGATCTGAGCCTCGATGTCTGCAGGCTGGTCTCCCACCGGCACCTTGGTCATTCCCGGCAGGTCCACCAGCGTCAGGTTCAGTACTGTGAGCAGGGAAGGAAAAAGAGGAAATTAGATCTTGTGAAACAAAATACAATGGTAAAATATTACTTTGTGTTTGGGTATGATGTAGATCTCAAATCAAAACATTAAAATCTATGTAATGAAGGGGTTGATATCAGGGTTACCATGAGGAGAGTAGACACGCAGGTTGATGGGAACAGGGGAGATGCCCTTATTGGCCCCTGTGATGCGGTCAGTCTCTGCCTCAATCTCCTGTCGAACCTCATCAAAATCCGTGAATTTTTTGCCCTTGCAGTGGAGGAACTCTGCATATTCTACAAAACCAAGAAAACGGGAAACAAAATAGACAAAATCAAATCAAATCCATCAGAGCACCAATTTACTGCAGGGAAACTTCGGATTCCATGTAGATAAAAAGAAATTGATGCCAGCAAAATTGTCCAAATTTGAATGTAATCCATATATGACTCTTTAAAATTGTTCAAATTCATTGAGCACCACCTTACTTAGCCCAAAGATGTAATAAACCTAAAATACATTTAGAAGTTCGGCTACAGTAAAACAAAAAGAAGCCTTAAAATGTACTTGGTTCAATTTTTCAGTACATGTCACTGATATAACGATTTAGGTGCAAAATTACAACCCTTAAAGATGAAATAGTATCAAATGTTTTTTTTTTTTTTTTTTTTTTTTTTTTTCAAGTGTTACAAACCTAAATATGTAAAAATAGGAAATATTAACTACATAATGACGAGGCCTCTGCTGCTGGGGAAATTAACAAAACAAAACATTTCTACAAAACATTTTACTGTATATCAAGCAAAACTGCAATACTATTAACTAATACAGTTTCATTGATGTTTTTAAATTGTCTATTAAAATGCCTAACTCTATATAGCATTTAATAGACAAGTGTATTTCTTAGTTAACTTGTTTAAATTTGTAATTTTACTTCAGCCCTCCCTCACATAATTCAGTGCTCTTTCCTGTAAGGGTTTCAAAATTTGTTCATTAATTAGCTTTATAGGTTTTAAATACTGAAGGATTTATGCATTTTACCTGTTGGTGAATTCATCAGCTGCAGAACCAAGGGACGACGGGTCACGATGCCAGAACCACGAGGAAGAAAGTCCCTGTCACACACAAACACACAGATAACATATTTAATGGTCAATGTAACATAAAAAGCAGAGGCTGGAATTAAGCATAAGAAACATTTACTCTAGTAAATGCTGCAGTTGGAAAGGTATAAATATTAAAGAGGTAGGGTGGACCCCATGGTAACAAGAAGAATTGGACCTGACCAGGAAGAAGCCAGCAATCAAAGTAGAAAGTTACTTGTATGTATGTATGTATAATATTTAATGTAACCCTATTTCATTGTTGTTCAATAACTTTCCACGGTGCTTTACAAAATAATCTTGCATTTGTTTGATCTTAATTTTATATTCCTGACTTTATTTATGCCAAGTGATCTGTATGCTTATTTAGCATCACCTCATCACCAAAACAAATTCCTCGTTCGTTTAAAAAAACTACTTGTCAGAAAATTATTTTCAGATTCTAATTCTGACTCGGATTCTAATGTAACCAGATATAAATATAAAGCTTACAGCGTCATTGTTTATATGATTATACTAATTCTGCTCCGGTCTGCATGCTGCTATAGTTGCAATAGTGTAAAGACCTGAGGCTACAACTGGTTACATCCTAATGAGCAGCAAATTATTTCTTCCTGATTTTTGTCTATTCTTACATAAGCTTGTATTTTACTATCAATAAAGATTTGTAAAAATGTACATCTTGTTAAATTAATTCATATAAGAATCACAGCAGCTTAACGTTGAAAGTGAAAGAAAGGTCATTTTTGAGTCATTTTTAGAGAAATCTATTAATACATTTTTAAGTATTAGTGTTTTTAAATTTGTATGGGATTGTTAAACAGTCTCTGTCAGATTAAATTACTTTCATATATAATTTTAGAGAGCCTTTTTATATCAGTTGGGTTTGTTTTTTCAAACCAGAAAATAAAAATGTTGCTGTTGGAAAATATGAGTTTCTACAAAGACAAGCAGATTTAAGCCAATACATTTTTGAGAATTAAAAACAAAATCTGCAACTAAGGCAGCCACAAGAGGAAACCATGGAGTGGCATTAAAACCAATCTTAATGTGTGCTGATAAGATAAAAAAAGCCCAAAAGAACTACCGTACTTAAAATGGCTGAGGCAACTACTAAAACTATAAAAGCCCTCAGGAATCCATCCTTCAACTCAGAAAATATAAAATCCTTTCATATTTTCAAGACTTGAATTTAGACATTTCTGTGTTACTTACTTTAAACACATAAATATCAAAGTTAACTGTAAAGACAAAACTGTTTTTTCTACCAATCGGAATAAAAATTCAAATGCAATCTGAAAATAACGGGCAAAAATATTTCTAGAAAAGAAAGACTACCAAAAAAAAAAATAAAAAAAAACGATTACTGGCCTGCTTTCTTAATGAGCAGTTTACTGTCTTAAAACCTTTTTTTACAGGTGTTTTATCACCTGGGTAACAAATATCCACACAACCTCAACAGTGATTAAAAAATTTAGGTCATCATAAATTAGTCATTGGGATATGTGATATATAAGGTTGTATAAGAAAAGCTAGTTTAACTGTTTTAATCCTCATCTATTTAATCTAGAAACATTTTTGATTTTTGTTCCTTTTTGTTTTTTTGTTTTTATTTTGTGAATTCAGTGTTACCAGTTGCTTTTGAAGGAACTAGACCTATATCTTCCGGGATTGAGTCCCCTACTTATTAAAGGTTACACAAGCGCTGCTTTAAGATTTACTAGTTTATTTTAGTTATCCATAGTGTTTGATCAAGTGCTTCTTGTTTATTTAGGTTTGAAATGTCCTTCAGTTCATTTCCATGTGCTCAGTATTGTTAGAAAGATGTTAACATATTTCATTCCTCTTTGTTTAGTTTCTTAGTAAATAATTTTAAACATTTAGCTTTATTCTTCTTAGGGATCTGTTAGCTTTATTTACCTGGTTAAGCTGTTTTTTTCTGTCCTAGTTCAGCCTCTTTTGAGAGAATTAATCTCCTTCTTTCTATCTCTCAGTTTTCTTTCCACCTCAGCTGCTCCACATAAATCCATTGGTTAAATGTTTCCATCACTGAGCTGTCAGTACCAGTCATAGCTTTTTTGGCCCTGCTCCATCTCTGTTTATACCATTCTTTGAAGAAAAGCCAGTGTCAGTAAAGATAAAGCAGTAATGTTTAAAAACTGGTTGGGTGGAATAGAAGCAGGCCAAGTAGATCCACTGGGAAAGGGGCATAAGGTTGCTGGTTGTAACTTATTTCCTTGATTCTCCCTAATACACCGCCTGCTTCTCTGCACCTGCTTTATGTCTAGTTTTCTGTTATTATTTAAACTATCTCTATGCTTATGCTCTGTACCTACCTGCACTTTGGTCCTACAAAAAAACCATATATCATTAAGCCACAATCAATTCTGAAAAATCTGTTGTTTGTTTTATACATTTCACGCAGTTCTAATTGTTAACAAATCTTCTTAAAAACAACGAAAAAGGTACGACAAGAACATCTGTCTAGTATAAGAAATTATTATCATTTCTTATTCTACCTTGTCACAACAAAAGGAAATCTTTCTCGTAACATTTGCCATGTCCCTTCTGGTCTACCTGCCAGCAAATGTTAATTTTCCTGCCTGGTGTCCTAGTTGGACATTTTTCACACAGGACAGATGGTCTTCACTGCAGGTCTTCCCTCATTCTTTTTTTTTCTTGCATCCTCACACTGATGTCCAGAAAAAATATTTCACATAACAAAGCCACAGACATGATTTTTACATCTGTCTGTTTGTACATTTATAATTGCACATAAATAATTTATTTATCGCTCCAGATATATATTTTTTTAAAAACCTGATCCTTTCACTAATTCCTTCAGTAGAGCTACCACCCACACGATGTCCTGTATCATTAAAGCAGCATCCATTTGAGGGAGGAAAAACACAAACACAATCCTTTTATGGAGACTAGATGACTAAAACTGATTAAACAAAGAGATCTAATGATAGAGAAGTTAAGATTTTTAATTGTTGCATCACCTTTGGAAGCAAAAGTAGTACAACTATTAACAAATCCCTACCGTGGATCTTTTTCAGTGACAACCATCTCTAATAACTCCAAAGCATAATAGAGTCTTTTTATACAATGTTAAGATATTATGGCCAAATTATTTTCAGTTTTGTAAGCTAAATATACTATGTTTAAATTATTTCATAGCATCTGAATTGGATTTAGTTTAGTTTAGCTTTGGGGTTGTTTGTTTTGGACCATTGGAGGTGATCTTGCTGGTGTTTTTTAAATCATGGCCTTTCTGAAAAACCCAAGTGTCACAAACTATTGGCTCCTCCTTTTTGTGTGCTGTTCTGATTTGAAACACTGGGTGTCACTATTACTTATTGTTACTTTAAAGGCTGTCCAAGATTTGCCTTTCAAAAAGTGCCACTTTTCTTACTTCAGGCAAGATAATTTGTTTCTCAGATCAGGAATAAAGTTGAGGAAATGTGAGACAGGTCTTCTGTTGTTCTGTCATAATTTTGTTTTTGTGTCTATCTCAGAAAATGCCATCTTTGCTCAGGCTTTTTGAATCCTGAGCAATGAACTTAACTGAGGCCTGCAGCCCTTCTGACGTTGGTCTGGGTGAGTTGTTGAGGCTCTCTTGGAGTAGGTTTGGTAGACAAGTCACTCCTGGGAAGTGTTTCATGTTCTCTTCTTCTGGATTCTGTTTTATCTTCCTGTATTTTAAGCATGTAAAATACTTTGCATTGTCTTTGAACTGAATTGTGCTATACAAATACATTTGCCTTGCCTTGCCTTGCCTCTTCATTCATGAATATGGGCTCAATGGGGCCCACTGAATTCAAAAATCTTCGAAATGGACTTCAGCTGGATAGATTTGGTCATAATAATTTGCTTTAAGATACTTTTGTCTACTTCATGTTGTCTGGCAGGTTCTGTTTGTGGTTGTGTATTATTATCTTTACAGATAAAAAATGAAGTGTCTTTCATGATCTGAAACATTCAACTGTTCTAAAAAAAAAAAAAAAAAAGACACGAGGAATAAATAGCCTTAAAAAGCACCATATGTGTAACTAAAAACATATCTTGTAAATTCCAGGAGATTTACAATAATCTCAGAATGAATGCAGAGCTGCCTATTTTATTGTAATATTTTATCTAGAAAGTCAGTTTTAAGTCCTACACTAAAAGCTGCTAAATAAACATTCCAATGTACTTATTTAATGCAATGTTTGAATGTTTTCACTGTTTGTTGTTGATTTTCTTTCCCTTTTTTAGATTCTACGGGCAGATTGCCGGTTTTACTTATGTTTCTTTACATCCTTTCCTAAAGGTTTCATGTATGACATTCATGCAACTAGCAACTTTAACCTAACGTTCCTCTGCTAGTTATGTACATCACCTCACTTCCGATTCCAGACACTGAGCTTCATCTAATCCACTAATGCGTGCTGTATTACGGGCCCTGACAGCTATGAAGCAGCACAACAATGCTTATGTTTTCCACAGGCTGTAAAATGACGGGAAGGTTCTATGTGATGAATAAATAACTCGCATAGAGACAAAATAGAGGTTGATGGAAGAGCAAACTGCACGCCTGGTTGCTGGATGGTGGGAATCGAGGGTTAGGCTGCATCCAATGGGTGAATGCATTGAAGGCAAGCAGAGATTAGCACTAATCCCCTGTAGCAGTGCTTCAATAAATGATGTCCTCTCCCCCACTGTCTCCCAGTGACTGCTGTCTCATCCTCTCTATACTCAGCCCTGTTTTACTAGTTTACCACATGGTTTAAGGGTGCTTTTAGGATAGTAGAGAGAAGAACTTCAAGATAGAATCCATAAAATCTTAAATATTTCTACAAACATTTCTATGAATTCATTTTATTTTTTAACCTGCTTGATGTTTTCTTTCTAATAATGCTGGTAAATAATATTGATGTACTTGTGTAGCATAATTGCCAAATGATTTTAGAAAGCTCCTTACCATTTTCTGGTACATTATAATGAGTTAAGGTTATGGTGAGGTTATG